CTTTTGATCATGTAATTGCTTGGTGCCGCCGTCATGCATCCCTCGAACTTCGCTCACTGGTCTCTCTCTGCAGCTCGCGACCTCACTCTCGAAGCCGCCCGCGATGCCAGCAATGTCCGCCGAGCGCCAACAAAAGAACTGCCCTCGGGCCAGCTCAAGAAACTCCTTGACAGCAGATCGGAGCGCGATGTGCTCGAAGGACTGCGAAGAGTCGTCACTGTAGGAAGCCCCGCCACGGTCTCGAGACCAGCTCATTGGACGCTGTGGGACGTGTAGTAACTGACTACAGCGCATCTAGATGTCCTACCGACAGCCGCCTTCGCAAACGCTGCCCTTCTTCTCCCACGTGATCAAGAACGTCGCATCGCCCTCGCTCCAGGTCAAGAAGCTCGTCTACATCTACCTCCTCCAACATGCCGAACACGAACCAGATACCGCGCTCCTCTCCATCAACACGATACAAAAGTCGCTCACAGACACGAATCCTCAGCTTCGCGCCCTCGCCCTACGCGTCATGTCGAGCATAAGGGTGCCTGTCATTAGCCAGATTGTGAGCTTGGGCATAAAGCGCGGTTCTGGAGACATGTCAGCATATGTCAGGAGGGCAGCAGCTCTGGCAATACCAAAGTGCTACAGGCTGGATCCAAACACCGAGCCGCAGCTACTTGAATACCTTTCGACACTACTGGGCGACAAGCAGTACTTCGTGACGGGAGCAGCTGTATCATCTTTCTTGGAGCTATGTCCGGAGCGTCTGGATCTTATACATCCGCACTACCGCTCATTGGTACGAAAACTAGTCGATATGGACGAGTGGGGTCAGCTGGCTACACTGCGGCTCATGATGATATATGCAAGGAAGTGCTTCCCGCGCCGGACGAGGAAGGTCAAGAAGGCAGCTGGGGTCACGACAAATAGCAAGCCTACGCAGTCGACGAAAGGCTTCTACGATTCAGAAAGCGATTCAGAAGAAGAGGAAAAGGAACAAGAACAGGACATGGAAGAGATTGCTGTGCTGGATCCGGACCTCGAACTGCTGCTGAAAGGCTGTCAGTCACTTTTGCAGTCTCGGAACGCGGCTGTAGTGATAGCGGTGGCAAGGACCTACTTGTATCTCGGTACCCCAGAGTACCTGACTCAGGCCATTGGCCCGCTGATATCCCTCTTGAGATCTGCGGGAGACATTCAGCACATCGCACTGTACAATATCGTGCAAGTCTGCCTGACGCACCCGGAGCCATTCGTCAAGTACTACACACATTTCTTGGTGCGATCAACCGACGCGCCACATATCTGGCAGCTCAAACTGGAACTGCTTACTCTGATATTCCCTCATGCACCTCTGAGACCACAGAGCCTAATATTGGCTGAGTTGAGCCATTTCTCCCACTCTGGAAGCTTGGATCCAGCATTGGTCAAAGAGTCAGTGCGCGCAATCGGCCGCTGCTCGCAGAGCCCTGCAACAAGCCCACAGACCTCCGCAAGATGTCTGAAGCTGTTGCTAAAGCACATAGGATCCGCCGATACTCATCTGGTAGCCGAATCGCTGGAAGTCATCCGACATCTGATCCAACGAAACCCGAACGCTCACCGAACAACTGTGGTCCGGTTAGCGAAACATCTCGATGCAGCAACGAGCCCCCAGGCACGAGCAAGCATCATATGGCTGGTCGGAGAGTTTGCAGGGATCGACCCAGAAAACAACATCGCCGCTGATGTTTTACGCATCCTTGTCAAAGGCTTCGCGGACGAGGCCGAACCAGCAAAGCTCCAAATCGTATTATTGGCAGCGAAGGTCTATGTGCATCATTTAACTGCAAACCCGCCTCCAGAGCCGAAAGTCGAAGAGCCCAAACCGTGTCCGTCGATCATGGATGATTTCCAGGAAGACCAAGGCGGCTTTAGGGACGAGCATCTTGAGTCCACCCCACAGAATGCGGAGCCTGAAGAGGAGAAGCCACACATTATTGAAGCCCTATACAACTACGTGCTCCTGCTCGTGAGGTACGACACCTCGTACGATCTCCGCGACCGCGCTCGCGTCTACAAAGCGCTTCTGGCGACACCAACATCGACACAACTCGCGTCGCTCTTACTTCTTGCACCGAAACCAGTGCCACATATACCCAGCCCGAGTGAAACAAGAAAGGGCTACGTGCTCGGCAGCGCCAGTCTCGTCATCGGCGACGAAGGCGGTGTAGGTGGTTTACGAGGCTACGAAGACCTGCCCCGTTGGGTCAAAGAAGGTGATGAACCGGATCCAGCTCTACGCGATGAGGTCGTCTCAAACTCTTCTTCGACATACGTATCGGCATACGAGACCGCGAAGAACATGTCAGCGGCGGAAAGATTAGACGCTGCAGCAGGTGGTAGTAGCAGGATGACGCCAGACAGCATGTTGAGCCCACGAAGTCTGAACGGTATGGGTGGAGATTCTAGTATGGGTGGTGCAAGTAAAGTACCACAGAAAGAAAAGACGCTGGACGATTGGCTGGCCGAGGAAGAAGAGGAGAGCAGCAGTGAAGAGGAAACGGAAGAAGAGGAAGAGACGGAGGAGGAGGAGAGCGAATACGAAACAGACAGTGAAGAGGAGACTGATGACGACGAAAGAGGAAACCTCATCAAGTAGATATGGAGGTACCAAGCGAATGATCACCTTCCATGCCTGCTTGGCAGTTTACACTTCATTTTAGGCCTTGTAGCCCAGCCGCTACCAAGTATGAAGATGGCTGTGAACCAAACATTCTATCAACGAGCGTGTACAACAGAACAGGTAGTGACAGTTCTCCCGCCTGGATTTGTAGCATCTTGCCAGAGCCGTGCCTCATCATCAACACCACTGTGTTTAGTCATTGCTGTCTCTATAGATACATCATCTCGCAGTCGCATTTCAAATGCCTCCTTGACGTGGTATCGGCTATGTGAATCCGGTGGTGCTAATTCGTTGCTCTTACAGCCATCGTCATCCCGGTTGTTGCTGCGGAAGCGGGAACTCAAGAGGCTAGGGAGGTAGCGCGCGAAGAACGGCCTCAGAGCGGGAGCGCATGCGCAAACTATGCCGGCATTGACTTCGGCAAAACACCACTGGAATTGTTCAACCGCCTCCCACGTATAATCGGCAGAGACCATGAGAGGATTCAACAGTGTCGTTCGACGAATCGCGACGGCACAGACGCTACGCGTACGGTCAGTACAAATTTTCCTAATGACTGGGTTGACTTACAATCCACCGGTCGCGAAGATAGCGCATACAGTGATCTTTTGTCTCCGCGGCATTTGTAGTCTTACTACTATGGGTATCGGAAGTATCAGTGTCAAGACATCTATTATGATGTTCAGGACGGAGAGCGCCATGTACTTGGTCAACTGATCAAGGCATGTAGCCCCAGGTACAAGTCTGAGATCCCATGTCGCAGCTATTGGCCTGCAGCCGAAGATACTGACGAGATCGTATACAGTGGCGTAAATCACCACCACCGCTACGAGGATCCAAACCAGTGTGCGGAACCATACTTGTGGCGAAAGGCGTAGATAGAACAGCAGTATCGAAAGTTTTGAGAATGCGATGCTGGTAGCGTATAGGGTCGTGCCGACCAATGTCCACTGCGCGTTTCGTTAGTGTCGCAGCCGGAATGTTGCAACGAGTATACCTGCCTTTTGGAAAGGAACCATGTACTCGTCTGTTTTGACTTCCCACATATGGTAGCCTAAGCCGGACTTCATGTCTGCGTTACAATTAGCCTTGCAAAGGAGAGTGACGGCGATTGGACATACGCGGAAAATTGCACCCCAGCAGCGCAAGGCTGCAAACCATTGCACACGCTACTATATCTGAACACCGAGAGTTAGCACAATCACTTTTTTTCAAGATTCGTAGACCATTGGGGAGACCCACAATCGTTGAGACGGACACCCAGTTTGGTGACATACGCTCGTGTAAAGAGCTGTAGGATCACGGCTACCAGAGCAATCATCGTTGTCGAGACTCCAACGGCGGCGAGTTCTCTATGAAGGCTCGGAGGGTTGACTGTATGTCTGATTTGGCCAGGCGGTGGTACCGCCATGTAGACTGACGTCGCACTCATCCTCGCCAAACTAGAAAGCGAGCGCAGGTTGAGATACGCAGGGTGACAGTCGAGGCGAGAGGCGCATGCTTATAACCTCCGAACTGATCAAGCCAATCACAAATCCTACCTGCGCCTGATTATCGCATGGCACCGCTGGACTGGTTACCACTGTCAACAAATCTAGGTACTGGTAACCGCATTTCGCATGGTTCGTTTCCGGTAGGTATCTGCAGGGCGAACTCGCATCCATGAAGCTGGTGAGATCATCTTATCTCATATCCGGCATCGCTCGTTCTATCAACAATGTCTGCGACATCATCTGCCCTCGGGTATGGATGAAAGGAATTTGACTGCACATTGTTCTACCGTCGACAATTGCATGAATTGTATGTGAGAGGAGCAGACGAGTACCAAACGAATGAATCTTGAGGAGCATTTGTTTAGACGATATGATCGTGCGATTGATTGTCTGTGGAGCTGGCGCCCGGCGGCAATGCCAGATGGATCGCGCTAGTTCCGGGGACATCCCAAATGAGCAGCCACGAGCGGCACACAACTCCGCGCCCCACTGAAGGATCTCTAGTGCTGAGACTCTAAACGGGTCGTAGTATCCCATGTGGGAACCTAGTCAGGAGTTCGGCATATGAACATGCGGCGTGGTTGTGCTGGTGACTCGTGGCTCGCAGCCATGAACGAGGGTTTGCATATGGCTGTTGAACCGTGAGATATATGAGCGGCACATCGCTGTCGCACTGATGTTACCTGATATCTCTCATATCCTGGCTTATCGATATGAACGGCACCGCTAAGACTCTCCCATATGCTGTCAATACCCTCCCTTTCTTGGGTAGGGTTATCGCTGTCACTGGCGCCAGCCGTGGACTGGGCCTTGCTGTTAGCAAGTACTTGCTGATACGAGGTGCCACAGTCTCTATGTGTGTGAGTAATGTTCATGTAACAGATACATACGAGACGTGTGCTGACTTTGTACACTAAACTGTAGGCAACGTCGGTTGACAATCTGTCCAAAGCCACCAAAGAGATTGACGCTGAGCTTCCAGACGCCAAGGACCGGTACTGGACGTGCGTCGTAGATATCGCCAACTTAGACAGTGTTCGGTCTTGGATCGAGGAGACTGTAGCTAAATTCGGAAAGCTTGATGGAGCCGCAAACGTCGCTGGTGAGCTCAATTAGCCTTCTGGATACTGTATGTGTTTCTGATCGAGTCGTCTAGCGGTGGAGCAACGCGAGATCTTCCCTATAACCGACCTCGACCCAGAATACTTCGCTAGGCTGCTCAACGTAAACGTTGTTGGTACTTTCCATTGCTTGAAAGAAGAAATGAAGGTCATCAAGGACGGTGGCTCAATCGTCAATGTTGGAAGCATCGCGAGCCACTACGGAACGCCTGGCACATCGGGTAAATACCGAGGTTTTCCAAATGCATACGAAACACACGCTGACTTTGCATCTCCACCCTGAAGCATACGTCGCCGCCAAGCACGCGCTCATTGGTCTCACGAAAGTTGCAGCTTTTGAAGGGGCGTCGAGGCGAATCAGGGTCAACGCGCTGTGCCCGTAAGTGACTTGGATGTCTGAAGACGACCTGAGCTAACTGTAGGCAGCGGATGCTTCAACACAGAAATGATGACGAAGTAGGTTCTGTTCTGTACAGATTGGTCGTGACGCATTCGCTGACTTCCGATACTTAGGCCTTTCAACTCAGCTGCTGGTGAATTCCATCTGAATAAAGACAACATTCCATGTATCTTGAACCGTGAGCTTCCAGAAACATGGGAGATAGCCGGATCGGTTGCTTTCCTGCTGGGCGATGAGGCCGCGCACGTTACAAAAGCGTCATGGTCCATTGATGGTGGGTGGGTCGAGAGTAACTATAGCTCGGGCTGAGAATGTGAGTGGTATGAAGATCATGGAGTTTGGGGTTCGGTGTATTGATGCAGCGTGCGCGGCTGTTGAGCTGTAGAAGTGCACATTGCAGTTTTCCCGAAGTTGCGCGGTCGCGGTCGCGTTCTCGGGTTTCGCGTCGTCATCGTGGCTCAAGCGCCAGCCGTAGTTAGCTCAATGCTTATCGCTATCATCCCCTGCCACCTCCATGGCTGCACCTTCTTTCCGACGGGATACGGTCACGTGTATCTGCTCTGATGCTTCCAGCGTCTCCGTCGGAAAACACAGCAATGCGTCTTCGTGCGTATCGTTCCGTGGGATGGCGCCTGGGACTGCATACAAGACTGTCTATATAACCAGTCCCCAACTATTCAACAATATGGGGAACACAAGCAACGCCAAACATCATCTTTCCCATCGACTAGTACAGCTGCAGCGAGATAGATACTATCATGCCTCTTCCATACGCAGACGCCGACATTACGCGATTGCAGCGCGATGCGGACGACAATCTGCTCACATACGGGACCGCATTCCATCCTGAGATAATCACCTCTACCGATGGCATCAACGTGCAGACAGCATCGGGTCACCGAATGATGGACGTTAGTGGCTTCAAGCTCGGGAATGTACCAAGTATACAATGCTAATTGTTTTATTTAGTTTACCTCTGGACAGATGAGCACTCTGATCGGGCATGGCCATCCTGAGGTCGTGAAAGTGATCGCGGATCATGCGCAACATCTCGATCATCTTTTCAGTGGGATGATCAGTCCCCCAGTCATCAATCTTGCGAAACGGTTAACTGGCGTTGCGCCGGCTGGGCTCGACAAAGCTTTCTTTCTCAGTACGGGCGGCGAAGCGAACGAAGCCGCGATCCGGCTGGCCAAATTCTACACTGGCAAATGGGAGATTGTTGGTCTGGCTGCCTCATGGCACGGCATGACAGGCGGATCGCTCGGTGCGCAGTATCACGCTGGACGTTCAGGTTACGGTCCAAACATGATTGGGGTAAGCGTATCTGCCTTAACTGCATGTGAGACGTGCACTGACCTTGTAAACCTACATTAGAACCTAGCACTGCCGACCCCAAACTCCTATCGATCGATCTTCAGACACGCTGATGGTACGCATGATTGGAAGACTGAGTTGGACTACGGTTTCGATCTTGTAGACAAACAGTCCTGCGGCTCACTCGCAGCGGCTATCGTTGAGCCGATCCTATCGAGTGGCGGTATGCTGGAGCTTCCCCCTGGATATCTGAAGGCCTTGAAGGACCACTGTACCGCTCGAGGCATGCTTCTCATTGTTGATGAAGCACAGACAGCACTTGGCAGAGCTGGCGATATGTTCGCATTCACACACCACCCCGAGGACGAAAGCGTAGTACCGGATATCGTGACACTCAGCAAGACGCTTGGAAATGGCATACCGCTCAGTGCTGTCTTAACTTCGAACCCCATCGCCCAGCATGCCAAAGACAACGGTTTCTTGTTCTACACTACCCATATCAACGATCCCCTTCCAGCTGCTGTGGGCGACAAGGTTCTCGAGATCGTCATGAGAGACGAGCTCTGCGCTCGTTCCAAGAGGCTCGGTGTCAAGCTCCAAGCAGGACTCAGGCAATTGCAGTCACGCTACGGTTGCATTGGGGACGTTCGTGGTCGCGGTCTGATGGCTGGAATGGAGATTGTTGGCGACAGAAAGACAAAGGTCGGTGCCCCAGAAGTAGGAGCCGCAGTGTCAACAAAGATTGCAGAGATGGGCTTGTGGGCTCAGCTAGCCACGATGGCTTCGTTTGGTGGAGTGTTCCGGATAGCGCCTCCGATCACGGTTACGGAGGAGCAGATCGATCTCGCCTTGTCAATCATTGAGGAAGCGCTTGCGACGACTCCAGGTACGATGCCGCTCTACACTGATGTCGCCGCGCATTTGTAAGGTGGGCTAGTCCGTGTGATTGTAATTTGTTCTAGCAGGCTATGATGCTCAGGACCCATATCATGATTGAGCGAAGACTTTTAGTTCACAATCAGTCGTTATTTTCGCAACCCCCTTGAGAACTCCGACGCCAACACCTAAATCGCAACCGTAAAGTCATTCCTTCCGTAGCTCCTGGTGAAAAACCTACAATGTTTTGGTACCTCAAGTTCTTCAACTGTAGAAAGACTCAAAGCCTTCCTGAAATATCCAGCTCTTGGTGGTTATCTCACTGCGCACTTCCTCCAATTTTGTCTCCGTGGCCGCCTTTGCAGCTTGTACTGCCTCCAGCCTTGCTTTTGCAACTAGGAGAGCCTTTTCATAAGTCGAAACCGCCATCACGGCCTCGTTGAATGTCATGGTGTGCGCATTCAACGTATCCTGGATCGCAGTCGCTTCCCTTTGCAGACTCTCAATTTTGATCTGTGCGAGGCGCTTGAAGCGGCTGCACTGAGAGAAGAGTTAATTTTAGTGGTTCTAGGTAATCACTATGCAACTTACTACTAGCTTCGCATCCTCTTCTCTGTCCTGCTCCTTCTCTCTCTTGGCATGGTCATCCGCAGACCTTTTTCTCTTAGACTCGCATGCGAAGATAGTTCCAGCTGACGCATGTCCGCAACTCCGCTCTGGATTCTTTTGACTGGTCATTGTCTTCGGGAATGGCCTTGCGGCAACGATGCCGTCTCGTTGCACCGTGGTACTGACCGCACGTGTAGGATCATCCTCAGTTGCTTTCACTAGCACGGCTGGCATATCCTCCCGCTTGACGAGTATGCCTTCAAAATCTTCGTCTTCGTCGTCTTCTTCTGATCCCGGCCGAGTCTGGGCTTCTGTGGTCTGGACGCTTTTTGGAATGACGAGAAGTGGGCGCGTTGGCCTTTTCTCAAACCGAATTTGCCCATCGGCGATGCTCTTACATGCCCTCTGCAACGACTCCAATCCATCTTTTGTGAAGATAGTACGGTCGATAAGCTTTTGTTCGAGGAAATAGTATAAGACTAGGAAGCGTAGTGACGTGCGCCATTTGATGCTGCCAATGTTGTCCAGCAGGTTGAAAGGCTCAACGTACTTCACCTTTTGCAGCAGCAAAGTGTCGTTTCTTATATGTGCTCGATGCATCCCTATTGAAGTGCCATCGTGAAGATGCACGTTCACTAGGTTGAGAAGGCCACTCGCCGAAGGGCACACTCGAGCGTGTACACGCAGATGTTTGTGGTTGTTGTAATACCCAATCAGCAAGTTTCTCTCGCTCCCGGTTCGAATTACCAGGTGAAATTTAAGATTTGCTTTTAAGGCCTTGGGTAAGAAGCGATAGTTTGTTCGCCAGTTTTCGTCTCTTGCAATCTCTTGGTGAAGTTCTGCTAGAGTGTAGCGATCGGAAGACTTTGGGGGGTTTCCTGGGTTGTCCGTCATGGTGCGAGCCCTTAGGTTGTGTCTCGGAAAGGGACCAGGTGAGGTAGTTTATGTTACAGTATGAACCGAGAAGTCGAGAGGATGCTGATGACTAGATGAAGTAGTGGTGGGAAGGAACATATAAGTGAGAAGATCTAGGTGGGGTCTCTACTGTACCTACCAGCTGTCATAGGCTTGTGAGAGGAGGTAAAGGTGAGCTGACCTACAGACGTGGCTATGACGGGCGCTTCGACGCCTCCAGGGCCATCGAGTCATCATGAGCTCCATCAACCTCACCTTGCCCGCAGTCTGGTCTCTCACATCTGCTACCTACTGCGGTACATCGTCGCGGTAACTATCTTTTCCCCCTATACCGCGATAGCCAGACCATTTCGGGCCGCCGGGCCAACGAGGGTCCCGTGGTTTCTTGGCTTTGTTGTCTTCCCTACTTCTACGATCTTGCTCTTTCCTCAGACAGCCTGGACACGGTTTACTTTCGGGGTGCATTCGGTCTTCGACCCTGTTGCATTGACGCTGTGGGGGGCGATGTTCGGCTCGTGGACATAACGTAAAAGGGTGTATAGAACGGAGCAACCTGTGCCGGCATGAGTGTAGTATGTAGTGGCGAAGGCACATTGTCAAGTCTAATATTCAGGAAATGTATATGAGAAAGCAACTTCAGTCTCGCGCATTGCTTTAGTATGTCGCGCGCGTGAAGAGTTGGCACCAGTGATTGACAGCGACGTGAATTGGTATGTGGAATGGCAAAAGTTTGACATTTTCGTGCTAGCAAACCAGCGTAAGATAATATTTACAGTAAAGAAGTCGCCAGGGAAGTGAACGACCTTTGGCATCTTCACACCCTTGCACCATCACAGCATCTGCGTCACCGCCTCAGGAAGTTGAGTCTTTCCACGATGGAAAGCTTACGGGCAGTTGACGGTGATGGAAGCGGAGCCAGTGGAGAAGTAGCCCTCAGTGGCGACGATCTGGTAGTAGTGGCTACCAAGAGTCATGCCCTTGCTGGCCCAGGCGTCAAAGTGAGTCTTCATGTTGACAGATCCGCTGGAACGCTTGTTCTGGCGAACAGACCAGTACTGCTGAAAGGTCCTAGTTCCATCGATGGATGGCTGGTTGGTACGGGTCGACTGGGCGATCTTGTAGGAAGAGCCATCGGCGGTCAAGGTGCCCTTGTTCGAGGCTTGAGAAGATGGGTCGTAGGTTCTTTATGGTGTTAGTGTATATCTCTCATGCAGTCCGTACAGGGACATTGCTCACCCGAAGTTCTCAACGACGTAGTACTCGACGAGCGGGTTGCGAGTCCAGCCGTAGATGGCAAGGTAGGAGTTGCCGTTGGGGTTGTAGGTACCCGAGTAGGTGATGGTACTGATACATGGTCAGCAAAGGTGTCACATCAAGCATGCAGTTGCTTGGGTTAACATACCGGGCGGATCCAGGGTTCCATCCCTTTCCACCGACGAAGTTGCCACCGCTTCCCCAGTTGACGCTGTAGCTTCCGCCAGCACCGTTGGTGTAGGTGACACGGGAGCCACCATCAGTCCACCAAGAGTAGACTAGACACATGATCAGCTATGCTCAACATATTGCTTCATGATACGACTTACAGCAGCCGTTGTGAGTTCCCTCAGCGTTGGGAGTGCTCTGGCGGGCAACAAGGTCACTAGGCGAACGAGCAGCTACATCAGTGGCGGGAGCAGCGAAAACGCCAGTGGCCGCAATAGCAGCAGTGAAGAGGGAGGTGAAAGAGACCATCTTGAATATGAGTTGCTTGTGGTAGGAAGCGAAGAGATGTTTGATCGTGGTGGTGATCTATGAGGCGACTCAAGATGGCTTTATATGCCTTTGCTCCGCTACAAACCGCGGCTTGGTGGTTCAATGGGGTAGCCCCGGTTCTGCTGGCGGGACCAAGACAAACATTCTCGCCATCGCTACGGCCGTCCGTCTCTTAGCAGCTAGGATGTAGATCAAGTGCTGCGATAGGAGAGACACCACTATGCCGGGCTTGGCTTCTGGAAAGAAAGGCATGCGAAATGCCGGCGCAGCTTCCGGTGTGATTGGTCTGTAACTTGAAACAAACGGTTACGGGACAAGACCGGGCGGTCATTAACCTACATGTCAATATCTCCGTGGTGGAGTGGGCTTCGGGTCATGGCGGCGCTACGACTGTCCTGGCAAGCACCCATCCACGTGTGCTCCCAAGCTCTATGGCATGCATATGCCAAGCTCTCCGCCTTTACAATCTTCCTGCGGTTAAAGAACGTCTTGGCGTGAACACCGAACAGTGGAGTTGTGAGGTGGTAATCTATGTGAAGCCGCGTGACACGTGTGGCGCTTCCAAGGCTAGAAGTGGCGGCAAAAGGCGCATCTCTTACACATTGTATGGTGATTGCTCGATATCCAAGAAGCTTAGCAAGTACTTCAGGCATAGTTCGTGAGGTGTTGGCGATGTCACAGCAACAGATGAAGGACTGCGATATTTTCGTGGGGCGTCCAAGCGCGCTGCCAAGAGACGTTTGCCTGCATCTTGCTTGAGCCGCATACCGCTTGTCTCCTTCTCACCGTCACTGCGCTCATGTTCTGGACCAGCATAATCAGCGAACATGTCGGCAGCACGAATCCGCAATCATAGTTACGAGATCGTAATGAGTTCTCCGACCCCTCAGCCCGGCTGCGCAAGACCACCGTCCCTGGTCCTTGAGATCTTGCGAATATGGATCGATCTCCTGACTTCATATATACGGCAGGCTTTCCGAACCACTCCCCTTGTTACCAAGAACGTCTAAATGAGTTCTTGCATGCCATCACATGGGGTTGTCATATCCGTAAACGACGCATCACCACGTCTGCATCACCGCAGCCGCAATTCCCTCTTCACATGTACGCAGCGCCCCTTGCGTAATGCGAGGTGATCACAACACGACATTTCCCCGTATCCCGGAGAATAGCAGCCAGTTCTGGGGATCCGGGGAACTTAACGCGCCAATCACGTTTTACCCGCCATATTGTGCGCCATCACGTACGGTAAATGTTTACATAGCCGTCTGTACCCCAGATTCTACAGTCTAGACACCGCACAGCGGGCTTGCTTGCCCAGACTCTTGGTACTGTATAAGATGTCTTGTCCCGGTGGGTGAAAGGAGAATGCGTGGAAGCTTGGTTGAACCGCCGAGTATGAAGGGGCACGCTGTGCAGGTTGGTACAATGGAGCTCGGATTGAGTGAAACATCACGTGAGCTAGGCTTTGCAAGGAGACCACAGTAACGAACTGTCCACCCCCAGTTGCTGATATTTTGCTCTCCTTCGATAATACCGTAACCTGTCACTCTTCAACTAGGCTCCTACAAGGTCTTGCGATCGTGGAAAGCTCAAAATCTAGCTTTACCATGACTTCCTGCAGGGTACTCAGAGGTGCACTGGAAAAGTTCTTACTTCACCTCGACAACGACAAGGACGTAGCAAACTCGAATTCACTGTGACTGAATAGCGTGTATTCTCCAACCTCTGCTACTAACCAGACTTTCGCTATCACTAACAACACCAACAACCTCCTCAGTCCCCAGTCTCCCAGTCAAATCTCCAATTCCAAGCCTACATCTTCACCAAAACCACAATCTAACAACAATGTGCAGACGCAACTTCTACCACCATACCGCATGCGAGCACAAGACACAAGTCTACGACAACCCGTTCACCATGTGCGGCGCAGATCCCGGAAGCAGGTATCGACTACCGTGTCAAAACCCCACCAATTCCATAACCATTTTCTCGGGACACTGCAGGGACTGCATGTTGGATTTGGAGAAGAAGCTTGAAGATCTGAGGATCTGTCAAGAAGCAGGTTGGGTGTGGACTCCGAGGAAAGAGGTCTGATCAAGGGCACAAAAGCCGCTCCAGGAGAGGTTGAAGGGGTATGAGGGGATATAAAGGAAAAGAGGCACCAACTCACGAAATGTGGAGTTACGGCGTCAACAGGGTCGCGATATATGCAGAAGTCAGTATCACAATCATGCAGAGAAATACAATTGTATGATATATCAGTTTTTTTCAATAATTACTATGTAATTGCTTGGATCAATTTCATCTTCTTCGTTCTGTCACGTCAACCACCGCAAATTTGCTTGCGTTGAGGCATGTGCAAAGTGACGCAATCTGGGGTATTCGTCGTCTCCAGCTCTCTGGCGGAGCCCGACATCAGTCGTTCAGCCAATCTGACAAAGGAAATAAAAGAAAACTGGGGGTATTGCGCTCATAACCGGGTATATCTAGAAGCAAAAGGCCTCGCACTGAAATCGTTCTCATCGTTCATAACCATATCCATCTCGTTCATTACGTAGTTTGTCATCTCTTTCATCCATTCTCGTGTGTTGTGTATTTCGTTTCGTGTTCGTCGTTCAAAGATCAGGGTCTTCGCTGGTTGATACCTCCGGCTCTGGAAGCAACTCCCTCAACTGCATCATTCTGTTCCTCGCGTGAATGATGAAGATGGAGATAGCAAGTGAGTTCCAAACATCACAGCCTTCCTGCATAAAGTCGTACATGGCGAGTAAACGTAGTGAAGGTTGTTCGTTCTTTAAGGTCGGCGGCGCGTAGCTCACAAATGCCATGACGGTGTGCGTTGCAGTGATACCATAGAGGGTCGGGACTTCAGGTACAATAGCATCTCCGCGGGCTGCTGCCTCATCGATCTGTAGAGCGTCGTACCATAGCTCGTGTAGCCGACCAAGCTTCTCGATCATCTTGCGCTCTCCCACGGCCGGGTGTACATGTCTCGAGAAGGTGACGGTTTGGAATAGAGGGAGCTGGGACCAGAGATGCTCGACTCTACCGTCTTTCATAGCCCATTTTGTGTATGCCTTGATAGCCTTGCCGATCTGGAAGTGGGGAGCGCGCCTCGTCCGCGTCTGCCAGGCGTCGCGAGCGACACCGCCCAGGTCGAACAGCTTCTCGAGAGCATGCTGCGCTGGACGCTGTTAGTAAGATCCTCTTAGCAACTACAAGATCGTAACATACCACTGTAATCAGTACCGGAGGCTGGCTTGATGAAGGCCTTGTCTATGTTCTCGGTGAATAGGTCTGCGGGGACAGTCTCGAGATCATCGATCCAGCTAATGGGCATCAGTGGCTCAAATCCGCGCATGCCCAGCTTCTGAAAAAGAAAGACCGCGTCCTCAGACCAACCAGCGTCACGCAGCTCACGGGCTTGTTGATCTTGTCTGTACCGCTCCTGGTCGTGATTGACTTTCTTCTGTACGACCATGTAGGTGCCGTCATCAACGACCATGGTCTCTTCGTTCGCATCCCATAGGTCGGCCGAAGAGCCATCGTTTTCGTGGTCCCTCGCGAGTGCGATGGGCGAATGCGCGACCAGGGTATCTCCTTCCAGGTCCTTGGACGACATAGCCGAAGCTGGTGGGGAGGGCGGTAGCAGCGTCGCATCGATATCGTAGTGAGTGCTCGGTGGGCTGAGTCCCCGGGTCTTGACGTGCGTTTCGGGACTCATGTCTCGTGTAGGCGGTGGTGTGGTGTGTTTTGACAGAGCAGCGGATCGAGTGGGGAGCGCAGGCACCTTGAAGGCGTACGGCTTCTCCCGGCGCTGTTGTGTCTTGCGCGGACTGACATAGTTCCAGAAGCAATCGGACACTCCGCGAAGAAACGCCATACTAAGTGGAAGGTGGGAGCGGTCGAGTCTGGTCGCGTAAAAGAAGTGTCCCCGTCACTTCGTGGTGGGCGTGACGTGTAAGGAGCGTGGTGGGGGTTTGCAGGCGATATGCGAAGTCGCGGTGAAGTGAAGGTGAGGGTGAGGCTACTCGATTCCCCATGCGGCAGGCCCAGGTATAGTCTTTGTCCCTTTGATGCGCTGTTGACCGGCTGAGTCTTTCACTCACGGGGAGTAAAGACGGGGCAAAAAGGAGTCATAGCTAGTGAAAGTAAGGTGAACGGAGCGGCTTGTTCCTGCATGGCTCATGCAGCCCTGGACTCGGTCAACTGGTCTGCCACGCTGTCACATTATGTCTAACCGTATCCGACTAGCGTCAACCGCTGTGAATGCAGGTGCGGTGAAGATCTTATCAGATGGAACTTTGACACCCCACCAGATCTCTGCATCCCCGCCAAAAAAGAGTCGAGCCGCTTTCGGAAGACATTTGCGTGAAGAACTACGTTCGCGATTACTTTTCTTTTCCACAGCAGCAAAATGGCAGTCACAGAGCAGGACACCCAAGTTCCTACGCTTCGCAACATCCTCACCTCGGAGTCGGAGCCCCTCGCCCGCCGCTTTCGCGCTCTTTTCTCTCTCAAGCACCTTGCGGGCCTGCAGCCACCCAGTGCGCAGACTGTTCCCGCCATCGAGGCCATTGCCGCCGCTTTCGCATCGCCGTCAGCTCTGTTGAAGCATGAACTCGCCTACTGCCTGGGTCAGTCGGGGCACGATGCTGCCATCGCGCCCTTGAGGGACGTATTGGAGGATAAAGAGGAGGACTCCATGTGCAGGCACGAGGCTGCCGAGGCACTTGGTGCACTGAGCGACAAGAGCAGTCTTGAGCTGCTAAGGACATTGAGGGACGACGTTAAAGAGATCGATGTCGTACGGGAAACTTGCGACATTGCTGTGGACCGCATAGAGTGGGACCATGGGCTGCAGAAGGGGCAGGAGAAGCTGAAGAAGAGGTATGCTTATTTCAATTCCTGCGTATTCTACTTTCTTGCTGACTACTACACAGCGACTTCACGTCCATCGACCCTGCGCCACCACTACCACAGAGTACGGAGAAGGCATCGATCCCCGAACTTGAAAAGACACTGCTCGACACCTCCTTGCCCTTGTTCCAGCGCTACCGAGCCATGTTCGCCCTGCGCGATCTTTCATCGCCGCCGGACCTCCCAACTGCCGTTCCGGCCGTACAGGCGCTCGCTCGCGGATTCACAGACCCATCTGCTCTCTTCCGCCACGAAATCGCCTTTGTCTTTGGGCAGCTGTCACACCCCGCATCCATCCCTAGTCTTACAGAAGCGCTCAGTAACACAAAGGAGGCAAGCATGGTCCGACATGAGGCAGCCGAGGCACTTGGAAGCTTGGGCGATGAAGAGGGTGTCGAGGATACTCTGCGTAAATTTTTGAACGACCCAGAGCAGGTGGTGCGCGACAGTGTGGTCGTAGCACTTGACATGGCAGAGTTTGAGAAGAACGGAGAGATGGAGTACGCGATCGTGCCGCAAGCTGTTGCAGCTTAGCGCAGCCCAAGGGATTGCATGCATACGGCGTTCGGGGTATCTAGAATTCAAAATGGCCACATAGGTAGAATTTCCGCTTCAGTTGTTGGTATTCCATCTGTAACATAGCAATTAGCATAAGCTCAGCTCTTGGCATGGACGATTGAACGTACTTGTGACCGCAGTCGCACTCGTAGAAGACAGTACTTCCTTCATCTGCGCTTCGCAGTTGTTGTGTGTAGTATCGCACTTCCTCTCTTCCGCATTTCTCGCATGGATGATTGATGACGCTGCTCGTCTGAACGTCCTCTTCGGATATGGTCTGAACCTCGGATCTCTTTGCGCGCAGCGACGACGGGAAAGCGGTTGGCTTCGAAACTGTGACGACAGTCTTGGACGATGTATCTGCGGTCGGTTAAATCTTCTACTCTTCTGCATGCGCAACATAGACGGCGCATACCTTTACATTGCGCTCCGCATGCCGCGCAGGTCAAGATGACATTTTGCTTGCCGGCAGATCCGTCGAGGAGATTTCCGCAGTCGGTGCAAAAGACAAGACTACCAATAGCAGACATGGTGGGTGATTTATCGATTTATCGTCTTGGTGCGGGTGATTGGTGTTGGAGTTGAGGAAAAAAGTTACAGGGAATCGCGACTTCCGCGGCTGCAGCCAAGCTAGGACGGGAATGGCAGGCGGTGAGAACGCGTCTGAATGTCGTGCACCACCACATGCATTCATGCTCCCGGTCGCATCGCATGGTACTTTTACAACAAGTTTGCTACCATCACTCTACCAGGCAGCGACTGTCCAGCTACCGGAGCATAGCATGCGCGCACGCACGATGATATAGCTGCATGCCCAACCCGTCCAATCCAAGTCTACCACCACACCTCGACTGCGCCTGTCCGCAAGTGCTCAACACCACAAGCGGCAATGAATGGCGACTGGCATCATGCCAACGGAGGCGCGCTCCCGTTCAGAAGGCCTCCGCCCACAGTGGATGAGGCCCTTCCGTATTCGCCCTTTACCTCCATCATCCCCTTCTCGCCCGGTGCGTCGCTCTACTTCACTTGCGCCCTTTGCCCAAGCGCTTTTCTCTCACCTGGCTAATAACCACCAGAAATCATACCCTTCCCAACCGCCGAGCCTCCTACGCCACCCTCTACCCTAAACCCCGAGCAACAAAAAGCCGCGAAGAAGGCTGTCGGAATCTTGAACGCCGAGATCCAAGGCCAGTCCACCGCCCAGCATCTGCATGATACCCTCAACCAGCTTCGCAACCTCCTACTTCGCGATAGTCTGCCAGAGTAGTGGGTCTACGCTCTTGCCGTACCTGGAAGTCTTGTCTAACACCCACAGTCACTTCAAGCCCATGCCGCAACTACCAACGCCCCCGCCGGACAGTCCCGTCAAGAACACCAACGGAGATACTCGCAGCGCTATCTCTGATCTGAGCCCCTTCGCGCGCAGGCTTTACGACCAGACGGATGTGGCATATACGGGTAGGCCTCTTTGTCACTTTCCCGGTGCAACCACTAACAAGGACAGCACCGAATGTCAAAGCACCCGAACAGCCTCGATCAGAGTCGGCACCTTCCCGAAAAGCTGAACCTCCACAACTGCCGCGCCCAGCGCCCACACCGCCCCAGGCCACCTCCAACGGCCATGCCTTCACGCAAAACATAGATTTACCCTTCTCGTCAAGCGCTCTTTCGTCGGCTCCCAGCAGCACACCAGTGCGGCCTCCTGGTCCGGCCGTTATGATAAAGCCAAAAGCGGTTCCACGCGCCGACTACAAGTACATCGACAACATCGAGATTGGAAGCTTGTCACAAAGGAAGGAGGACAACAGAGCCGAGAGCGGCGTTGCAGTCTTGAGACCCCACGAACGAGAGATCGCTGACGGGAAGATTGAGATTCTCAACTCTCTAGTCGCCAGTCTGAGCGAAGACAAAGATGATCTTGACGGCTCACTGCACTTCACCAGAATCCCAACTCCTGACGGCGAGTTCAACGTTCTCAAACCCCGCTCAATGGAGGCTCTTTCAGAGAAGATGTCCGGTGTTGTCAGTCTCGGCCGCTTCAATGCGCTTCCTGTGGACCTTGCCATGGAGATACAATCACTACTACACCCCGCTGTCGTGTGTGCAACTAAGAATGGGCTCTTTCCACAGGATGAGACTACCCTGGAGCTTACCGAGAGCATTACAACAGCCAAGCTCGCGCTCAAGTCATCCAAGCTCCTGCTGGAAACCATGATCGAGGGTCGTGACGACTATCGGATGCGACGAGAGGACATTATCGATTCTATTGTTGATCTCACGAAGCTAATCAAGAATGCCTGCATTGTGCCTGTCGTTCAATCTCGGCGGTCTGGGGAGGCTCAAGACCTTTTTACTGCAGCATCGGCTCATAGGCCAGATCTGCAGATGGTGCTGCGACTGTGTGGAGCAGTCCTTACCCGCTTTGCTACGCTGATGGGCAAATACAACCTGCCGGACCGGGCACTCAATACTTTAGAGTATCTGACGTTGGAACTGCTCGTTGAGCAGAATAGCGAGAACGAGAAGGATTCGGTGTTTAGTATCAAGAAGTTCGAGCATTTCCGCCAGAAAGTCATGGATGTTCTTGCCCAGATTTTCGCTCGATACCCAAGCCAACGGCATTCGATTCTAAATGGTATTCTAGGCAACCTGGAGAAGCTGCCCGACAAAAAAGCGAGCGCGAGGCAATTCTTGTCGGCTCGTGAAGTCCCGATTATGACGATATCTGCACTTTTCATGCGATTTGTCCAAGTAGTCGCAACGAATCCGAGCACTCGTCTTGCGTCACAAGGCGGAGACGCAGCTGGCGGCATGATTGAAGACGATACCAGCGATTACGAGCCTGGCCAAGCACCTTCGAAAGCCCCAAAGAGAGGCGCCGGCCGGACGCCGGCAGTGATTGCTCAAGACTTGACGGTGGAAGCTACCAGCACGGCAATGTATATTGTAACCCAACTGTGCGACAAAGCCTCGAATACTTCCAAATCAGGCGATAAGCCATTCCGCAACCTTCTGGACTTATTCATCGACGACTTTTGTAACGTCCTTGGTTCTCCCCAGTGGCCGGCTGCTGTCATACTTTTGCAGAGCCTCTTGGTTCGTATGGTCAACATACTCAAGGACGACTCAGCAAATAAACACTCTGTGGTCGACAAAGACATGGCACTCACAACAATGGCGAGGATCGGTTGTGGCGTGATTGATTTCAGAGACCAACTCAAGAAGATGAAGCAAAGGCTGGACATTTCGCAGTCCGATTTGTCGTCAAGACTAGATCGTCTTGTGAATGACGCCATGAGCGAAGACGTCAAGGAGAGGGTTAATGATGTGGATCTGCTAGCTTTCGATGGCCCGTACCGCATGGTTCTCGAATCACTGGTCGATTATCTCGATTTACGCCCCTCCCAGGAAGACCCGCATCTGCAGGCAGCGACTGGCTGTCATATCAGCTCGTGGCTGGCAGCTGTCGTTAAGACCTTTCCAACAGTTCCAGAAGGAAATACAGATCACAGGCCGCAAGCAATACAAACTGTTCAGCATTGTCTGGAAAGCATGATTCCAGACCCCAAGTGGCTCAGTCAGAAGTAGTAAGTTTTCCAACTTGTTTAGGCTCGTTCCCCAGCTGACGGTGCTTGATAGCAAATTCCAATCTGTGTCAGATGATCAGAGCAAACTCGCCGCGGGCGTCATCACTTTACAAAGCCAGGTGTGCAGGTACCTTTCGCAGATCGTCAACTATATGCAGGCATACGCCCGGGACAAGAGCTCTTCGAAGCTTCGGACGAGAGGAACAGCAGGATTGCAACAACTGCTGGACAAAGATCCTCGGGTCATCTCCGAAGGACATGTCATCAACATGATCCCATCACTTAGAGACAGTTCACCGATGGTCCGAGAGGCGACGCTTTCGCTCCTGTCGAACTGCTTGGCCAAAGAACCATCTCTCGAGCGCCATGTGCTGCCACAAATTCTGGAGATGACCACAGATCCCTCAAACGGCCCCAAGAAAAAGGCCATCAAGCTACTCAAAGAGATCTATCTCCGCTCCACTTCAAATGATAATAGGCTCAAGATTGCCGCTCCTCTACTCCTCCCTTCGCAGGATAGTGAGAGTGCAATTTCCGAGCTGGGTCGCAACGTCCTCGAGGAGATATGGTTGACGGCAGCTAATAACAATGTCAAGACCGACGACAGTATGCACAGGCTCAACCGTGCTCAACGAGCAGCCTTCATGGTAGAACTCTTGGACTCTATCGAGCAAAGCGCTGTACATTTGGAAGCTTTCGAGAAGTTTTTCGCTCATTGTCTGTCACCTGAAGCGAAGGGTCCGGCTTCTAACCGAAAGATTTGCGCACAGCTGGTTGTCGACTTGGTAGACGAAGCCATTGCTCCCGGAAGCGGTACGGATATCAAGTCTCAAGCTCGCGTTATGAACACCCTTAGTGTTTTCGCGAAGATCGAACCGACCCTGTTCACGCTCGACCATCTGCGGCATCTGAAGCTATACATCAAGACCATCGCCACCATGGATGACGTGGCCCTCGTGCGGCCAACGGTCGTTATATTTCGGCATGTGTTGCCGACACTTCCCCCACTTCAGCATGCTTTCGCAGAAGAAATTCGAGCAAGTCTTCAGCGCAACGTTCCTAAACTGGCTAAATGTGCATCGATGGGATGGCCTACAAGTAGAGAAACTCTTCTTGACGTCATTCACTGCTTGTGGGCTATCAGCGAGATGCCGGGCATGGATACTGACAAGATTTTTGCCACAATCTGCTCTGTCATATGCAACCTTAGGCCACTTTTGGACTTAACCAAAGAGCAGGCAGCCCAGAAGGCTGATACCATCATGTCCTATCTAATTCTGATTGGTGCTTTTGGTCAAGTTTGCAGCCTGGATCAACAGGTCGAATCGTTCAACAACAAGCTCCGCGCGTCCCTTAACAAGCACGACGGAAAAGAATCTCTGAAGAAGCACCTGGAGCCGATGTTGAACCAGAAGAATCCACCTCCCCCATCTCTATTCCTATTAGACACGGTCCGACCTTTCACCATGCAGATTTGGGAGCCGAAGATTCGCGAGCAAGCCCTGCAGAGTATGGGTGGCATATGCCAGCAGTCGCCAGAGCACTTCATGCGCAGTGAAGTGGAGAAGGTGGTCAAGCTTGTCTTTGTTAACGAAGGAAACGACACCCTGAAGCACATCGCACTGTTATTCTTCAGGCAATTCTTCACTGTCGCTGAGCGGCGCTCGGAAACTGGTGCGCAAATTGCAACCGGCAAAGGAGCTGCTAATGGCTCGGCGCGCTTGGAAACGTCTTTTACGGCTACCGGAAACGATCATGCCACGCTGCATCTGGCGCAGAAGTTCTTAGAATATTTCGTGAAAGCTGCATTGGAGAACAAAAATGAGTCTGCCGTCGTTGCCACAGATATCATCGCTAGCATCAGTCGCCAAGGTCTTGTTCATCCAAAGGAGTGTGGTGCTGCGCTTGTCGCTCTTGCGACCTCGCCTTGGTCAAGCCTGGCTCGAGTTGCAGCCGACGAACATAGACGCATTCACGAGAAGCAAGAGTCGTATCTGGAAAAGGAGTACATGCAGGCCATCCACATGGCTTTCAAGTATCAACTAAACATGTTCGCTGATCCTCATGGCATGGTCGAAGCTACACACACTCCGAAGCTCGCGAAGTTGTTTGAGGCATTGAAGACGGGCAAGAAAGCCAGTCTCAAAAAGTTCATCAATAACTTTTGCAAACAAGTGGACTTCGACTTTTCAAAGCTGGATATGAGTGGCACTATACCGGAGGCTGTCTTGTACGCGCGCTTCTGTCTGGAGAATCTGGCTTTGCTCGACTTCCCTCACCTGGAAGAGCTTGCTGTGTTCCTTCATGCAGTTGAAGCGATGGTCCTGAACACCACAGGGCCCGCTATAGGAGTTATCATCGCGGATGAACTTCCAAAGCAAGACGCGAATTCAGTGCAAGCTCAGCCTCAAGATATGTTCCAACAACAAATGTTGGAAGCTAGTGGTGCAAACGGATTTCCATCAATGCTACCAGCGGCAGTTCCGACAGCACCTCAACCTGCTACTCCAACAATCAGCAACGACAGACTTCGTCAGATCACCGCAGCTTGTATGATCCTGCAGATGGTGTGGGAAACTCGCACTTTTGTTCGAAAATGCTACTCCATGAAGAGCAACGCGCCCATTCCGCAAAAGGATCACATCAAGCCTGCGCATCGTAACAACCTCGTCACTGGCAAGGAAATTTGGGAACGCTTCGAAACGATCATGCGCGCTCTAGATAGCCGCGAGAGCATGGTGAAACAATGTTATGACTTTGCAGATTTACTGGATGTTGATCGCGAGACCTTCATTGACGTCGAAGGAGACGATGCACTTGGTGCAGGGTATGAGACCCCAACCGAGACTGGCGAAGACGGTACGCCATTCCCTACCAGTGGTCGTGGCAGGAAGAGGAAGAGCAATGTCAGCTTAGGCAACACACCAAAGAAGGCAAGGGGCAGGCCTGCTGGATCCAAGAAGAAGAGGAATTCTCGCACACCGGATGGCGACGGCGACTCAGACTAGCAGCCCTGATCGGACAGCCACCGATTGCCTGCGAGAACATACATTTGATACGGCGGAACCAATACTCCATTATCTCAACAAGCACATCAGCATCGTCGGCTATGCCACGCGCATCGGACACTTCCTTTTGTTCAAAATCGTTTCAGCATGCTTTCGGCGTTCAACGGAAAAGGCATATCATCGATACCCACCAGCATATGGTACATGGACAGTGTGTATCTGGCGTTTCTCATTTCGTGGCATCACAAGCTTAATAGCTTGGACGGCGATCTTCAGCATGTCATCATCGAAGCTATCCGAATCTAGAACAATATATTATCAAAAACTCCTATCGGGCTCTTGTGAAACAACCCACATGCGATGAAAGAAATTTGGTGACGATGAAATGACTTTTGTTCTATGTGCGATTTAGACATCTTGCCTCTCCCGTTACCTGTTTATCCATTCCGTGGTGGTGTCCTACGTTTATGTTGCCATGTTCCTACGCATGCAACTCGCACGCGTTGACATCTTGTGATGTCTTCATTGCGTCTTCTCCATGTTTTCAGCATGCAACAAGCACTTTTGTCTCCCCGGTGATATAGCTGTTCCCCACGATATGATTGTCATGTATTTGCTCAACTTCCACGTCTTTTCCACCTCGCCCAGTGGCAGACAAATCTTTGTCTGCGTCCCTCTCCTCCTTATCCAGAGTCAACACATGTGTTGGACCCACACGATGCTTCTTATCTTCTGCGTCTATCTGGGGAGAAGACCGAGGAGAACTGGCGTCGCTGTTATATCGCCGTTCGTCATTCTCGACATCCTTCATGCGCACTACATCTGCACTGTGCTCGTCTTCTGATATTGCAGAAGCACTGCTGAATTCCGCTCCCGGGCCCGCATCGAGAGTCGTCGCGTGTGCTATCACAGAGTCGGCTTCCGGAAACACGTCGGAAGATGGGTAATGCGAGGAGATGGCGTCAGCCTCGGTGGAAGCAGATTGAATGGGGTCAGTCGCGGGAGACTGCAAGCGCGAATGCGAGCCGTTGAGAGACGTTTCCGGAAACGACAGTGGTGGATGCGATTGAAGGCTTTGAAGGCGAAGCGCGCCGCTAGACGCTTCTTCTCGGATTTGTTTGCGCTCGTGGTAGGTAAGACCGGGTAAGAAGTCTGAGACGTCGATTACGCGGACATCTGTTGGTCCTCCCTTTGGTATTTGTTAACGGCGCGTGTAGGAGGGAGAAGCTGATTGTGGTACGTACGATATCCATATTGTCTAGATTGGGCTTCTGCTCGCGTCTATCGCAAAGTAGTGTTCGTTTTAATCTTAGAATGACGCGATTGAATGCCATTGTGTGAGCTCGAAGATGCGTGGTTTGGTGGGCTTCGGAGACGTGTGGTTTGATGCGCGATATCTCGTTGGCAATCGAAAGGAATATGGTACATGCAGCGATCTTACAAAGACGGCGGCGTTTGAAACAATTGGGTGAGAAAAGAGTTTACAGTAACGAGACAGAGGCCAGGAAATAGGCCAAAAGCGGCAGGATCGCGAAATCTAGTTCGCATAGGAAGATGCTCGATAGATGCTAGTAGGTAAATACTAGATAAGCGTGAGCGAATGACTGAGAGTGTGGCACCAAGTCTGCCTTCTTCAGGCGTTGTCATGGCGCTCGGCCATCCCTTACGAATTCGCCCTCATTGTTCCGATGCTGACATTCCTTTGCTTTCGTTGGGGATGTAAGAGCGGGAGTGGGCGCCGCGGAATGTAAGGAGCTGGGCGAGCTTGATAGCTCGTGCGTCTCAAACACGTGAACAAAGAACTTATATGTGAATTGTAAGCAGAAAGCCTTACGGCGAGAAGCGTCGCATTTGGAAAAAAGAGATTGAATGAGACTGCGATCATGAAGCTGGTTATTAGCATCAGACTTGCGAGTGTTGTACAGTTTTGCAAACTCTACACCACCATCTGCTGGAGGTGGATAACGTCTTTGAGGCCAGAAGTTTCCACTTGCTAGGAGAAGTTCATTTCTACACGACGTTTCATAGCACTAGAAAGGCGCTAGTGGGCACCCAAACATCTGTGGCATTCGAAACAAACCCGGGAGGCGTGTTCATACGATCGGATACGATATGTGTTAACAGTATTCTAGCAGCATCAAGTGGTACTTAAGTAAACCTTGTGTTACTAAAATTGGGGTCGACAATGTTATACATGTTTAAGAATCGCCGACGGCGTGTGAACTGAAGTTGAGCAGCCTTCATTGTGTAGGATCTTTCTGGTCTGTACTAGGATACCATTGATCATCTCTCGCAAGGAGATCAAGCCTTCAACATTTTGGTAATGCTTGACTTCTCCATATCAAGTCATCTATTTCGGGTAGTCCTTGACGTGGTAGCTCTTGAGCTTGACGAACTGATCGAAGCCGAACTTGCTCAGTGTCTGGCCTCGCCCAGAGTCCTTCCACCCAACCCACGCCAGATCCTGAGTCGGTTAGTAAAGTGTCCTGTGTAGTCCTAGAATAACTTACTGGTGCGGGGTAGTCGCATCGGTTTACGAAGACTGTGCCGGCCTCGACGTCATCGGCAAGCTCGTGACCCTTGTTCACATCTTTGGTCCATATGCTAGCCGTAAGTCCGAATTGGCTGTCGTTCATCAATTTGATTGCTTCTGCGTCATTCTTGACCTTCATGACCGGGATAACAGGACCGAAAGTTTCCTCTGTCATTACGGTCATGTCATGCGTGACATTCGTCAAGAGTGTCGGAGCCACATAGTTGCCATCTGCAGGTGGGTTCTTGAAACTGGCGTTGTCTGGGGTAGCGTCCTTGGCACCCTTCTCCAGAGCATCTTTAACGTGCGACTGGATAGTCTCTGCTGATCGCTTTGAGACTACTGGGCCAACATGTGTGCTCTTGTCGAATGGATCGCCAAGCTTGTATCCGCTGAGTACGTCTTGAAGCGCTGATACGAATTCATCATGTATCTTTTCATCGACGTATACCCTCTCAACACTGCAGCAACTCTGGCCAGAGTTGAAGACAGCGCCGTCTACAAGTTCTTCCGCGGCCCATTTGACGTCAACATCGGAGCGTACATATGCAGGATCTTTGCCTCCAAGCTCAAGACCCACTCGTAGCGGTACGCGGTCATTCGCAGCCTGCTGAACCGCAAGACCATTGGCCACCGATCCAGTGAAGCAAACTAGCTGGATCTTGGGCGAGCGTGCGATCGACTCAATCTGGACGATGGAGCCGCTGTGGAAGATTTGAAGTACACCATCAGGCAATCCGGTTTCCTTGAAAATCTCCTGGATCTGCTCGGCACTGGTAGGCGTTTGTGGGGATGGCTTCAGGATGACCGAGTTGCCGGCGAGCAGGGCAGGTACTAGCGAGTTGATGAGGGTCAGATACGGGTACTGCAGGTAAGTCAGCATGTGCCGACCAAAAATAGCTTATGGCCTGCACGCACGTTCCATGGAAACAAGATCAAGACGGGCCCAAGCGGGACTTTCTTGATGTAGCGCTTGAAACCTTTCTCCGCCTCGCCTGGAGTATCTTGAAGTGTCTCGTCACTAATCTTTAGTAGATATTCGCCGCGCATCACCGCTGTAGTAACTTCTTTGGCAGTGTACGCGATAGGACGGCCCATCTGCTCAGTGATCTCCTTGCCCAGCACATCCTGGCGGTCATTGAGCAATTTCAGAGCTTTCTTGACAATCTCTTTCCTTTCAGCGAGCGATGTGCGTCGATAGGACTCGAACGCAGTGGCGGCTGTTTCAGGCAAAGATTGGAGGTCTGCATCTGAAAGGCCATTGCGCGTGACAACTGGCTTGTTCGTAATGGGAGAGATGGTCGTGATCTTCTCCAGCGACATGATGGCGTGTGTCTGGTATGTAGTTTATTTGGATAAATTGAGATGGAGACGCACGGCGTGTCGATTCAGTGGCGTCTTGGGAGCAGTTAATTTTGAGTTGAGGCTTTGCCCGCAGTCGCATCGGAGATGACGTATGACAGCGCTAACGCTAGCCTGTGCACGTCCCATTATAGTGGAGGCCTCTCATGGCTTCACGCCGAATAACGGACTTGGTTGTCCGCTATCGACAAACATCATGGCATACTCTCCAGAAACTCAACTTGAACATACAACATCACTATGAAGCATGCTCGACGCGCGAGATGCTCGAAAGACGCGTCGAACAACATTAATTCGTCGCGTTGGTCGCCAGCATCGACGCGCCGACGCTATCCACGCGAGCCTGGTAATATTCAATCGCACGTGGACCTCCTATCTTGTGCGATCGGGTGTGTTCATAGCTGAAGTCGAAATACTGGAGTGCAGATAGTGCAAATTCGGGCCTTTTCTGATCACCTCACTAACATGTAGCCGATGTGTACGGAAGCGATCAGGCAGCGCCGTGTGCCGTTCGATACAGTGCAATCATATTCGATGGCCGCCGCGCCCTCATTACTTGAAGAGAACAGCATATTGGTGCGGCGTCGCCGATTCGCTAACATTGTCAAATGATGAGAGTGCCACCCGCGCAGTGTGGAGATAAGAGCTACGAGACTTCGGCAGGTGTACCGGCGGTATCCTCTCGCTGGAGGCAAGGTCTACAGAGCCGATGCCGCACCCACCACGTAGCGTTCCGAGCGACTTGCAAGACTGTGGCACCTAGGTATGCTGCCCTTCCGGGCCAGGGATGCCGTTACCTGCGCCTTCACGACTCATCTTGACTAATTACCTCCACCTTCCATCTTTCATCATTCTACTGTGGTCAGACCTTCGCAGGAGAAAGCAGCCGGGGAGATGTAAGAGAAGAGCCACCACCCCATCCTAATTCTGGTAAACAGCACATCTGCTCGACAGAGTTCACCCTAAAGGCCCATGCAAGTGACGCGAGGTTCCATTCCGTATCGAAAGTTGAACTGACACTGGGAGTGTCCTGACCGTTCTGGGCTCGCCAGCAGTGGTGGCGAGTTTGGCTCCAACTTTGAGCGTCAGCATGGACTGCAGAAGA